CATTCCCTCATTTCATATTAATTATAATCATAAATGTGAAACATGTGTTGAAGCTAAACTAACAAGGTCTTCATTTAAACCCGTTGAAAGAAATACATAACCTCTTGATCTAATACACAGTGATGTTTGTGACTTAAAATTTGTTCAAACTAGAGGAGAGAATAAATATTTTATTACCTTCATTGATGATAGCACAAAATATTGCTATGTATATTTGCTTAAAAGCAAAGATGAAGCTATAGAAAAAATTTATTCTCTATAAGCATGAAGTTGAAACCTAACTTAACAAAAGGATTAAGAGGGTGAGAAGTGATCGTGGTGGTGAATATGTTGAACCATTTGGTCAATATTGGCACAACATTGTATTATTCATGAAGTAACACCACCATACTCTCCTCAATCGAATGGAGTAGCAGAGAGGAAAAATCGAACATTAGAGGAAATGATGAACACTATGCTAGGAAGTTCTGAGTTGTCACAGAACATGTGGGGGGAAGTTGTCTTATCAACAATGTTGCATGTTCCTTCTTGATGGTGTTTGAATCCCAGAAGTTAGTTTTATCAAAAGGGGGAATATTTGTGGGAAGGAGATATGTATTGAACGATATGTGGAAACTCAATGCTATCTCTGTAAAAGCTAAAAATAAATAAGAATGATTCTTATTCTTCTGTTTATATGATTGAGTCATTAAATTTATGGCATGGTAGACTCGGACATGTTAATTATGATACTTTACGAATATTAATTAACTTAGAACACATTCCCCCATTTCACATTAATTATAATCATAAATGTGAAACATGTGTTGAAGCTAAACTAACAAGGTCTTCATTTAAACCCGTTGAAAGAAATACAAAACCTCTTGATCTAATACACAGTGATGTTTGTGACTTAAAATTTGTTCAAACTAGAGGAGAGAATAAATATTTTATTACCTTCATTGATGATATCACAAAATTTGCTATGTATATTTGTTTAAAAGCAAAGATGAAGCTATAGAAAAATTTATTTTCTATAAGCAGGAAGTTGAAACCCAACTTAACAAAAGGATTAAGAGGGTGAGAAGTGATCGTGGTGGTGAATATGTTGAACCATTTGGTCAATATTGTGCATAACATAGTATTATTCATGAAGTAACATCACCACACTCTTCTCAATCGAATGGAGTAGCAGAGAGGAAAAATCGAACATTAAAGGAAATGATGAACGTTATGCTAGGAAGTTCTGAGTTGTCATAGAACATGTGGGGGGAAGCTGTCTTATCAGCCAATTACCTTTTAAATAAGGTGCCCCGCAAGAAAAAAAAAGACAAGACACCATATGAGTTGTGGATAGGCAAAAAACCTTCCTACAATTACTTGAAAGTGTGAGGGTGTCTTGTAAAGGTAATGGCTCCTTTATCAAAGCAAATGAAAATAGGTCCTAAAACAGTGGATTGCATTTTCATTGGCTATGCTCACTATAGCAATGCATATCGATTTCTTGTGCATGAATCAAAGAATCCAGAAATTCACAAGAATACGATATTAAAATCTAAAAATGTCTCATTCTTTGAAAATATATTTCCTTGTAAAATTAGAGAAGTTGGCTCAAGTTCAAGAAACAAACTTTAGAAACTATTAATGAAAATAGTCAAGACTTCCAACAAGAGGTTGAAGTCGAGATAGAGCCAAGAAGAAGTAAAAGGGCACGGGTAGAAAAATCCTTTGGATCGGATTTTCTAACATATATGCTAGAGACTAAACCTGTAACTTATAGAGAAGCTATACGTTCATCTGAAAGTAAATTTTGGAAAAATGCCATCAAGAGTGAAATTGATTTCATAATGCAAAATCATATGTGGGAATTAGTGGATCTTCCTAATATAATTAAACCATTAAATTCTAAATGGATTTTCAAACGAAAAATGAAACCAGATGGAACAATTGATAAGTACAAAGGCCAAATTGGTTATTAAAGGGTATCGACAAAAGGAAGGTCTTGATTACTTTGATACATATTCAACCGTATCAAGAATAACTTCTAAAAGAATGATACTTGCAATTGCCGTTTTACGAAATTTAGAAGTACATCAAATGGATATTAAGACCGCTTTTCTTAATGGAGACCTTGATGAGTAAATTTACATGGAACAACCTGAGGATTATGTAGCTCCAAGACAAGAAAAGAAAGTATGTAAGTTTGTAAAGTCATTATATGGACTTAAGCAAGCACCAAAGTAATGACATGAAAAGTTTAATAGTGTTATGATATCAAATGAATTTAAAATAAATGAGTGTGACAAATGTGTATATGTCAAAATCACTGTTGATGGATATGTAATCCTATGCCTATATGTTGACGACATACTCATCGTTGGAAGTAACAATGAAATGATAAAGCGTACCAAAAATACGTTAAATTCAAAATTTGACATGAAAGATATGAGACTTGCTGACATGATTTTGGGCATCCAAATCAAAATGTCTCATATTGACTCAGTCACCCTATGTAGACAAGATTCTTGAAAATTTTGGCAATGATGATTCTGGTGTAGCCAAAACTCCGATAGATTCAAGTCAACATCTATTTAAAAATAAAGGTGAAAGTGTTAATCAAGTGGAATATACAAGGATAATAGGCAGTCTAATGTACCTTATGAGTTGCACTAGACCTGATATCGCTTTCACGGTAAGCAGTTTAAGCGGATTTACAAGCAATCCAGGGGAGAAACACTGGAAAACAATTGTAAGGGTATTGAGATATCTCAGATATACTTGAAACTATGGATTGCATTATTCTAGAGATCCTGTTGTGTTAGAAGGATTCTCTGATGCCAGTTGGATATCTGATATTCAAGATACCAAAGGCACAAGTGGTTATATTTTCACTTTGGGAGGAGGAGTTGTGTCATGGAAATCCTCAAGACAAACAATTATAACCAGATCCACGATGGAATCTGAGTTTGTATCCTTGGACAAAAATGGAGAAGAGGCAGAATGGTTACAAAATTTTTTGGAGGATAATCTTAAATGGCCAAAGCCTGTACCCAAAATGTGTATATATTGTGATAACCAAGCAATAATTGGTAGAGCACAAAATGTAATGTATAATGGTAAGTCGAGACACATGCGACGTCGACACAATACCATTAGACAACTGATCTCAACTAGAGTTATTTCTATTGGTTTTGTAAGATCAAAAGATAACATTGCGGATCCGCTAACCAAAAGGTTGAATCGGGATCAAGTTGATAAAACATCAAGAGGAATGGCACTAAAGCCCATGAATTGTTAAGGCTCTATGTGAATGAAAACCCAACCTAGTTGACTGGAGATCCCAAGATCTAGGTTCAATGGGACAATCTACTTGCATAGACCTGGTGAGTCACTGTGGGGATTTTTTTATCTACAAGCCCATTCCTATGATGAAAACAGTGGCTAAAATGTGGATAAGGTTAAGCAATGCTTTTAATGACCTATATTTGTTTCGTTGAACCGAACAACGTAAATCGCCTATGTGAGAGTGAAGTAGAGCCGCTTCAAAGAGACTATTGGGGCATAGTTCTCTAAGCTCTTGCAGAACCAGGAGATGTCCACGATTATATGGACATAACCATGAGAACCAAACTCTTGTCAGTAAGATATTTGTGTGAGGTATGCCATCGCTTACACAAACGGCAGGACAATTCAAGGACATCATGTCTACTGGACAGCCAGTAAGGTAAACATATTTTCACAAGGGAATGTTCAAAGGGGGACGCCTACCTATCCTATGCAAATATTGAACGTAGAATCTATCACCACATCGAGTCAATCTTTTAAACAATTCAATTCATTCATGTGGGGGATTATTGGAAAAATATGAATGAATTGATCATGAGTATTCATGAAAAATAATTAAGTCTTTTCATGGAAAATAGTTATTTCATTTCACCTTAAAATTCATGTCTTTTCATGTTAACCTTTTGATCAAAAGGTTATAATTTTTAATCAAATGGTTAAGTAATTTCATTTAAAGGACTTAACATTTCAATACAAATTCCTCTCCCTATATAAAGGCTAAGTTGTGACACATTTCAAGGCACAACTTTTTACTATTTTCTTTCAATTACTTTTCTTTCAATTCAACTATTCTTCCAAAGTCATTTTTCGGTGATAGATAAAGACAAAGATTGTGTTCGATTGTTCACTTCGGTTGTGCTTACTGTTGTGAACGTTCGTTGTTGTATCCTGGGAGACCGACGTCCAACGTTACTCAAATCACCGAGGAGATGACGAATCTGTCTTAAGGAAACTGTTTGTTCATGCCTCAACAAAACTCTTCTTCTATTTATTCAGTTCCATCCGATTACAGGTTCTATTTTAATTTCACATTTTTTTCAACTTTATTATTGAAACGAAATTTTTAGATTATAATACTACAACACTATTTTTCAATATTTTGCAACATGTAGTTAATGGCTATTCTGTCCGGAATGCATGATATCTTATGAATCGACACTAAAATTCTTACTGTATCAAACCGATCACTCTTTATAGTTCCCTCATCGATTTTAATTATTCCCCCCATCTGCTGCAAAGCTCAACGAAGAAGCTTTCTCTCCAGATGTGAATAGATACGTCATACATTACCACCCAATTTTTGATGCGCCTCTTACCTTCATAACCTTCAAGGTTTTCTAGCTTGTCAAACCAGCACTACAGGAAGTAATCTCTTCTTCTCCATACCCTCTCTTGCTCCTCCACGCTTTCAAATCTTAGAACAGTCACAAAACCATACCAAGGACAAACCTTCGTTCGCCTTTATCCCATCAGACCTGAGACCGTCTTGAACCAGTTCGATATTGTACATACCTTTGATTCTTCTAACAAGGCATCTCCTTTTCCAGTCGGGCTCCTCCTTCAAGAGACATATCTCATTCGAGCTTAAACTGTCGTTCTTGTCGGCGCTGTTTGGCATTTCATCCACCATCCTGACGTAGATAACATCGCTCCGTTGGCATGCTTGTAACACGGGGTCAGAGTTTGGTTTGGCTTTCCCAGACAACTTCTTTGAAGGTTCTGATGTCCCTCAGCGATGAAACCCGTCTCCACACCTTCTTGACTTTCTCCGATCTTTGAGTTGCTTCTCTATTATTGTAGCTCAGAAAGACCCTTACAGGACTCCCATCTATTACTCTCCCAGCTCCCTTTGTGACTGCCTGGCAAGCATCATCCCTGTTTTTGTATCTGACGAATGCAAAAGTCGAACTCTTCAGCTTCCTTCTTGGATTCGAGTAGGCGATATACACGTCCAGAACCACTCCATATGCTTGGAAAAGATCCCTTAAAGTCGCCTGAGATACTCTCTTACCGACATTATCCACAAAGACTGAAAATCCACGTCGGCGCCGGTCGCTTCTCCCTTCCCCCGCGAGACTCCTCTCCCCCGACTTTTCGCCTCCCATTACAATTAGATCTTTTCTACGGTTTCACTTTCTAGATTCTATATTTTGATTGTTGAATATGATTTCAAAATTCAATTTGGTAGTTGGATTCTTTCTTATTAGATTCCTAAATTTTGTTTCTTAATTTGAATTAGTACTTATATCAATTCAAATTAGGTTATTTTAGATTTTAAACCAATTGGATCGGAGAGACTTGACAACAACAAATAATTTGAAATTCTAAGTTTTTATTTCAAATGTCATAACTAATTAGAAAAAAAAAATCATATTTTTCAAATTGAATTAAGAAATCGAGTTCAAATAGCAAACTGGATTTTAAATTCAAATTTGAATACCAAAGTATATATTTACCCCAACTATAATTAGTTTTATAAATTACACAATAAATCGCCATCTCTAGATCGTTTACCAAAAAAAAAAAAAGAACAGAAAACATATACTAAAGTATGCATGTGTGAACAATTATTTGATTTTGTAAAGTAAAACTATTTTCTAAATCGACGATGCTTTTTTATTATTATTGTTATTATTATTATTATTAAATACTTGTATAACTAAACTGAATTACTTACCTTTAGGGTGGACCAGAAGAGGTTGAGGGGCTAACGTCATGAAGGCTTGAATAGTGAGGAGCATATATAACTATATATATAAACTTTGGTTAAGCAAAGTAGAGTAGTCAATAATGGTGATAATTAAGGTTTTGGTGGTGCTTAAACCAGCCCCCTATGCTTCCTCCGGTCCTTAAATCATTACTTAATACCTCATTATCACTTAATTTGACTCTGTCCATTAATGGAGTCCTTGTGTTGCCCGCCTCAAACTCAAATTAACAAATATGGACATAACATTACAGAGTCAAAAAATACTTATAAATATTTATCATTTAATTCTTTTATTCCAATCTAGTTTAAATTTCATATTACTTGAATAGCATAGTTTTTTGACGTGTGGTTTGGATTAAATTATAACTTTAACATCGATAATAATAGAACGTAAGACTAATATTAAAATTTTATATTATTTTTGTGCCCTTTTAATGATCTGGGTTCAAATAACCTAATTTGTACGTGCATGCGTTAATTTAAATATAAAAATTCTGCAGAGAAATGAAAAATATTAAAAAGCAACCAAAGAGATTTATACGATTATATGATTAGTGGGATCGGAACACAGAGGGGGTGAAGGGTCAGCATCCAGTATGCCACGCCGGACTGCTTCAGATGTTTGAGAACGACACGTTAACAAATGGTGTGGTGGCTCATAATTTTTAGGGTAAATTATTTATTCGATCAGCCATTTATTTTTTTATTTTTATAACTATTATTTAATTATTTTAAATATATGCAGACACTTTTTTTAAGCAAGAACAAGTAATATATACAGACATTAAATATTTGTATAATCACAGTGTAATATATAAAAATAAATATATATACAGACAAATATTTAACAAATGGTGAGAGACATTTGATATAGACACTGGATTTTATATTTTTTTAATTATTCATAATATATATTATGAAGACGTAATTATTAAAACTTACAATTTTTTTTAAAAATAACACTTTTTTTAATTGTTGAATAATTTTTTAAATATTTGTATAATCACAGTGTAATATATGATTTGGAGAGAGGTATTGAGTTCCATAAAATCAAGGTGTTAATTATGCATATTGACTAAGGCTCCCCCCAACTTGCTTTGCCTTTTCCCGTCACCAGACAATATTGGAAAAAATGCTGTTTGCCTTGGAAACTCTGCTTTGAGTCAAAGTTTGTTTCTGACACTACTCTATCTTTGTCACCTCAACTTGTACGTTGGATCTCTTAAAAAGTTTTAGGAAAAGAGACGATAAATAATTCATTAGCGTTGTGATGATTGAGCCCACAGCTTTGTGCTGCAAACAAAAAACCTCGATGATCACACACATATCTTGTACGGACGAGAAGAAGCATTACACATTTACACAAGCGAGGCGAGAGTGAGACCACGGCAACTCCCACAAATACATAAACCTGTACAAATATTGTGCACTAGTCATCCCCCTTTTTATTATCATTATTATTGTTTTATTTTGTTTATTATAGCATTATTATTATTATTAGGGGAATTTCCAAAGGTTGTCAGCATCCCCATAGTTATCGGCGGGAGGCTGAGAGGTAGCGGCGGCGGCCAAGCGAGGAGGGCTAAGAAGCATCCCCTCCGCCATATTGCAAAGAACATTAGGCATGTCAAAGATCAAATCCTCGTCCACGAAATCATCTACTATTGAATGCTTCTCAGTCGCCACTACTGTTGAATTGTTGTTGCTTCTCAAAGCATCATTCGCAGCACCCAAAGCCGCCGCAGCCGAGGCCGCCGCCGCCTGGATATCACGAGGGGAAGTCGAAGCCGGCACCGTAAACGAAGCGACCGAGTTCGGAAAGTTAAGCTCGGCGTCTCTGCCTTTCAAGGCAAGCGCGGCGACATCGAAAGCAATAGCCGCCATTTCAGCAGTAGGGAATGTACCGAGCCAGATCCTGTTAGGCTTCCTGGGTTCTCTGATTTCAGACACCCATTTCCCATTACTCCTACGCCTCAATCCCTTATAAACCGAGTGCCGTCCAGTAGAAGCAGAAGCACAACCTCCGCCACTGCTGCTGCAGGAACTTTTGTTGGGTTTGGAGTAATGCATGATGATAGAAATGGCGGAAAGTGTTGGACTCGGGGGTTGAGGATGGAGATGAGAGAGTCCATTTATGGAGGGATTAAGCTAGACTCTTGTTGTTGCTGCATAGAGTAGCAGAAGAAGAAGAATAGAGTGTAAAAAGTGGAAACCAGTTATTGATGAACTGATATCTGCTGGTAGTTTGGGTGTAAGGCAGATGTGTGTTTCGATTAGAGAAAATCGCTTCAGTGACCAAAAATGCCTTATAATATACGATTTTAACCAACTTTTTTTGGATTTGCCAAAATGACCAACAAAATCGCAACGCGAAATAAAAATCGCAACGCGATCCCCAGAATCGCAAATCAGTTTCCAAAATCGCAACGCGATTCTTGACAATCGTAATGCGATAGTACAAATTCGCATTGCGATTTTCAAGAATCGCAACGCGAATATGAAAATCGCAACGCGAACACGTAAATCGCAACGTGTATCCGTAAATCGCAACGCGTATCCGTAAATCGCAATGCGTATCCGTATATCGCAACGCGTATCTGTAAATCGCAACGATAATCAGTAAATCGCAACGCGTATCCGTAAATCGCAACGCGATTTTTAAAGCGCCATTATAATCGCTACGCGTATTTTATTTTCAAATTACAAAAACGAATATTAAGACAAAATCCCGTAATCGCAACTCATAACTTAAAACCTAAAATCACAACTCAGTCCCATCTCCATCTCTCACTCTCTACGGCGAAATTCGTCCCCATCTCCGAAGATTTCCGTCCCCATCTCCGGCGAAATCCCTCACAACCATTCACGGTCAGAAATCCCTCACAATATTCAGAAATGGAAAATCAACCTCCGAGGGTTAGTTTTTTTAATTATTTTTATTTTGAAATTTTTGCATTATTGTAGGTTTTTTATATTGAAACTGATGATATGTTTACTGGTCATTTCAATAATAGATTAACCATTTCACTTAGATTTCATTTCGCGTTACGATTCTCTCGTTGCGATTTTCATTTCGCGTTGCTATTCTCTCGTTGCGATTTTCAAGTTAGTATTGTCTTTGTCTTTGTTCTGTCTTTTGGTTGAAGTAATGCAATCCATTCAAGTTTCAATTTGCAGAAGAGTCGCAACGAGATAAATGAAAATCGCAACGTGAAAATGACTATCTGCAACGAGAAAAATGAAAATCGCAACGAGATAATCGCAACGCGAAATGAAAATCGCAACGAGAGAATCGCAACGCGAAACCAAAATCGCATTGCGATTTTCATTTCGCGTTACGATTCTCTCGTTGCGATTTTCATTTCGCGTTGCGATTCTCTCGTTGCGATTTTCATTTCTCTCGTTGCGACAGTCATTCTCTCGTTGCGATTTTCATTTCAACCAAAAGACAAAACAGTGTTGCAAATTTTAGTTTCAAGAATAAACTACTACTTTTTATGTTTATTGTTTTTGGTATATCTTCACAGTGTAGTTTTTGGTATATCTAACTTGGTATGTTTATTGTTTTTGTAGAAATTTTTTTCGGCTTCATTGACATTAAGGAATAAAGTTAGCCTAGCCACTACAATTGCTTCGAAGCTTTCACCTGCACAAAGACAATTGTTTGAGGAAACCTGCTTCGGGCCATGGCTGAGAGTACAACATCCGGGTAGAGATGCTAATTTGACCATTTGTGGCTTCAGACCATGACATCAAATCTACCCGACAGTATACAACGTGGTGAGGAAGAGATATGGTTTCATTTTCCACCAGCGTATACTTGTTTTGGGCGGAAGGAGTTCTGCTTAATCACTGGTCTACGATTCGGACACGATGATGTAGGCCGGTACACTCGTCATATCGCCCGCCCATCATGGTTATCCCGGGTGTTTCCGGATGAGTCAATGGAGAAGCCGAACCTACATGTCGACGACCTGAAGAAATTGTTAATAAGAAAGCTGGTTTCACTCGGATGGATGACGTCGATGTTGTCCGAGTATGCCTTCTACTACTTGTGTATGCCGGCTTTTTAGGCAAAGAGGCCAGACAACCTATTCCTCGGGAGCTAATAATATTGGTAGAGGACCTGAATGCATGGAATCTGTTTCCGTGGGGTTCGTATATATGGAAAGCTACCTGGACTAAGTTGTCTACTGCCTTTGATGACCGCAAAAGTTTGCGTGGCGATGGGTCGAAATACACTTTGTCAGGCTTTGTTTGGGCCTTTAAGGTAAGAATTTCTATATAATGTTTCTAAAATTATATTAATTATTTAACAATTACTAATTTTGTTATTATATGTTTGTAGATTTGGATATTCGAGGCTTTCCCCAGCATGCGTACATATGCAATAAAAACGTCAAATGATATCCCAGGGCTATTTCCTGGAAGAGGAAAAATCTGTTGGATTGGGAAGACTTAATACCATATGCGACAATAAATAATGTAAGTTAACACAAATACTTTCATATATATATAAACAAGTTATTAATAGTAGACGTTTAACTTTGTTTGAGTTTTTATATTGTTAGGAGGCCAACATTCCATTACAAAGACTGACACCCACGGAGGAAGAGCTTGCCACTGATTGGTGGCAAGCTAGTCAGAGTTTTTTTGATGGCACGGATGATGAGCATCATCCACTTCCTCCAATTCGAGAGCCATCACCTCACCCAGAGCCATCACCCGATCGACCCGACTATACACCTCTAGAACGAGAGCCATCACCTATCCCGTCACATCATCGAGCCTCTTCTCCACCATCACCTCATGATAGGCAACCGGTAAAGAGGCCACGACATTTATCTCCTTGTTCTCCACCTCCACGGGATGAGTTACGTGATGAGGTCAATGCCTTGCGTGAGGAGATCGGTACTCTACGCGATAACGATGGTGCATGGCGTGTGGAGGTGTCAACTTTACGTGGTGAGGTTGCCGCTCTACGTGAGATGATAGTATCGTTGCAGAATGAGGTTCATACTCTACGCAACGAGGTAAGTTTAAGATTTTCCATATTTAACTTAATGATAAATTTACTCGTAATTTCACTTAGATTAGCCATTTCACTTAGATTGCTTAGTAAATTTATTCGGTTGCTGCCAATTCTGCTAAACTGTGTATTCTTTAACACTGTGAAATAGTCTTTGTCTTTGTTTTGTCTTTTGGTTGAAAGTAAATTTGTTCGGTTGCTGCCAATTCTGCTAAACTGTGTATTCTTTAACACTGTGAAATAGTATTTGTCTTTGTTTTGTCTTTTGGTTGAAAGTAAATTTGTTCGGTTGCTGCCAATTCTGCTAAACTGTGTATTCTTTAACACTGTGAAATAGTATTTGTCTTTGTTTTGTCTTTTGGTTGAAAGTAAATTGTTCGGTTGCTGCCAATTCTGCTAAACTAATACCCTGAAGTCAGTATTTGTCTTTGTTTTGTCTATTGGTTGAAGTAATGCAATCCATTCAAGTTTCAATTTGCAGAAGAAGAAATAGTTTACTTTCGCAACACGAAACTTAAAATCGCAACGAGAGAATCGCAACGCGAAATGAAAATCGCAACGACAGAATCGCAACGCGAAACCAAAATCGCAACGACAAAATCGCAACGCGAAACCAAAATCGCATTGCGATTTTCATTTCGCGTTGTGATTCTCTCGTTGCGATTTCATTTCGCATTGCGATTCTATCGTTGCGATTTTCATTTCGCGTTGCGATTTTGGTTTCTCGTTGCGATTCTCATTTCGCGTTGCGATTTTAAGTTTCGTGTTGCGAAAGTAAACTATTTCTTCTTCTGCAATTGAAACTTGAATGGATTGCATTACTTCAACCAATAGACAAAACAAAGACAAATACTAACTTCAGGGTATTAGTTTGAAACATATTTTTCTTTGTTATCTGATGCATTTTGTGAACTATGATAGAATAATGACTTGGGTGAATACAATGCAAGTTTGAAACATATTTGTCTTTGTTTTCACTGTTTAATATCATGTGTTTTTATTTACTGATTTTTGTATTTAATTATTTAGCGGCCCGATAGAGTGGATGCTTTACGTCGGGTTATGCTTGCACGACGGAGTTCACGCATCAGACAGCGTGCACGTGCTATTAAGTCTCCGTACACCCCAATAGTGCGAAGACACCGCAAGAAGAAGCCCGACTCGCCTGTCATCCCTCAAGAGTCCACTCCTATCGTTGAAGAGGCCCCCCCTATCATTCCTCGAGAGTCCCCTCCCACCGTTCAAGAGGCCACTGTCATCATTGAAGAGGTCCCTCCCACCATTCAAGAGCCCGATTCACATGGCGTCATATGTAGGCTTCTTGAGAAACCCTCTGACGTGCCGGACATGATGGATTCAAGTTGGCTCTCGTATGAGTTACCGGCCAGTACCATACCGGTATCTGAAGAGGAGAGGGAAGAATTACCGGACACAATTCTGGATAACACCCTTTGGGCTAAGACCGCAGTTGATTTTTATCTACATGGGCTGAGCCAGGGGTGTTTCACTGACATATGCAAGCTCACCGATGATATCTATTTGTTGCTGATCGGTCTTGGTGGGGCGTTTATTAGGGGTCGAAGACAATGGCTATTTCGATGGGGGGGGTAAGTCTTATATTTTTCTTATATTTCAATTTGATTAATTTTTTTTTAAATTTATGTAAGTCACTAATATATGTCTTTTTTTGTAAAACAGCATATCGATGTGTGGGTGACACGTCTTCTAATAATAAGAAAACTTAAGAAAAATAAAAATATGCGATATACAATTATGCCGACGTCTTTTAACGCCGTTCACTTGAAGAATGCATGAGATGAATCATTTGATTTGGGCAATGGACAAGCTAAACTTTATCCTGCATGGTGGGAGGTCGATAAGGTTAGTATTTATTTTAGATTGAGTTTAAAGGTTTTATGAAATAAGTGCGCAAATGAATGAATTATTACTTATGATTGCAGGTGTTTATCCCTGTTTTGGAACGTAAACATTGGATTCTCGTCGAGCTTCAGCTCCCATCCCTTAAGACAATAGTGTATGA